ACAGTTTAATTTAGAGAAATTCAAATACCTTGCATACTCAACTATTTAAACAAACGTTTAGAAAGTTAGAAATTTCAAATTCGGTGAAATGATTGTTACACATAAAATGTAGGTGAATTCTCATCTCCCCGGAAACATTTCACCTTTTTCATATTTTGGTTGATAACATTTCCGGTGAAAGTATATAATTGATTCGACGATAACGTGGTGTTAGAATCTTCTGACCTATTACGCTCGCCTTGAATTCAGAGTAAAATGAGTGGAGCCTTGATACGCTTCGCGAAATTATGCTACGATACACTTGGTTTCACAGACGGTCTACTTTTGAGAGCGGTAACTAGGAGTCTAATTTACATATTTAGACGGACTAAAATCTTTCCGTGTAAATTACCCCGATCCGATAAAATTTCCAGTGGATTAGACAATTTCTAACTAATCTTCTGTAATTTCGCCACTGTAAAATGTAAACTATTTTAACCTGCGATATTCGACGTGCATTTGGTACGGTTTACAATGATCATTAAACTCAATTCTGTATTTAAATTGTTCTTTGTTAAACATAATTTTTTTCTACTCTCAGTATAATGCAAATTTTTCCTTATTTTAACCCCTTGATTTATAATTTCCTTTTTACCGACTGTACATGTAAACGTAAGCTATTTATTATTTGAATACTGTGTGAAGTAAGACAAGCTAATGCATTATATCGTTTACAATTTGATAATTCCCAGTTTTATATATTCAAACTAAATTTAGAATTAAAATTATTCTTTATGCACTAGAATCTGTACCACGAGTCTGACTGGTTGCTATAAGGAAAGGAGTTAATCTTTTTTCTTCTTTTATTCTTTTACTTTTTCTAATGAAAAATATGAAAGTTACTTGAAGATCGTATTACTTCGAAAAATGAGTCCTTTTGATAACGTACACTTATATTCACGTATAACGTCAATATACACGTGTATTTGAAAAATTGATGTCAAATTGATATGCTTTGCTTTATTTGAGTATCTTATTAAAGAAGAGTGGTTCATTATGCATGATCATTTTCTAAATGCACTAAATTACTTATGCTATTCTACATAAAGTCTACACACAAACATTATATTTATTTATCTGAAATTTAATTTATAAAATGTTTTTTTATTAAGCACAAAAAATATATATCGAGTCAAACTTTTTTAAATTTTGATATTCGTTAAAGATTTTTAGAAATTTTTAGGAAACATCAAGGATGGAAAAAAGAGACAAACGATAATTGCAATTAAGCTTGCAATTTTTTAATCAAGAGGAACGAAGTAGATTCACATTTTTTTAAATTTGATATTTTCAAAGAAATTTTAGAAATTATTAGAATATATCAAGGATAGAAAAAGAGGCAAAGAACGACTGTAGTTAAGCTTGCAATTTTGACAATGTCGAGACGAACGAGCGTGTTTAACATGGCACCAAAGTGGCTGGCTTTGTTCGCAAACAGGCGACGTGCCTTTTTAGGTTGTGCAACCTTAAATGGACAGATTGCATGCGAACTAATCGGCTGGTGTTTTCTTCTGATTCGCATTCCTCGGAGAGTAGTACTTTCTCACGACGTTCGTTCGCGTCGGTGTATATTTAATAGCTATTTCATTGTACGGAAACAGTTGTCTATAAAAATATTTGAAACACGTCGCGTCGGAGGGAAACGAATTTCCTGGAAACACTGTCAATCTTCGACAATTAACGTTATTTTACTAGCGAAAGTATCGTCATTCGTAGGTAACAAAAAAAGACCCGAAGCTTCGACTTTTCGTACAATAAAGCAACGTTTACAAATGTTCAAGCATGTTTTGCAAAATTTTGCTTAGGCGAATAAAAATACTTTTTCAATTTTTAAGTGAAAATTATACAACAGTATTAAATAAATATAAATGTATACAAAAATTTCGCCCTACCGTCATTTTTCTATAATTATCAGCTTATTTTACAATTAACGGGTAATTTTTATTTTCGAAAATGGTCAGATAAAGCGATTCATTTGCAATTATCAGTTATTAATGTATTTTCGTTTGTTTTATATAATAAAGTGAATTAAAATTACTTTGTACCAGAATATGAGGTACAATACAATGTTTTACGTTGATGAAACTTTCAATTTTTTTACTAATTTTTCTGTCCTTCTTTTTAAAATAAATTTCCCTGTTTCACAGCCAATACTGTAGCATATTTATGGAATAAGCTGTTTAACGTTGAATTCAATTAAACGATTACTTATGAAATAATCTGGTTTAGTTTAATTAAACGATTATGCATGGAATAATTTATTCAATTTTGGAATACAACTTTTTCACTTTTTCTTAAACGTTTAATAATTATCGAAGATGAGTGAATTTGTTATTAATAAAATACGAATTTCCCTGTTTTATATTGTATTACTTCATTAATGCTAGAAACTTAGAAACCATATTAAATCATGGTTACATCTGCTATGAAATAATAATATCTAAACTGATCTCTACCAATTCATTTTCATTTTTCAAATCTTATCTTAAACTAATTTAATCTAACCTCAAAATTTATCTCTTATAACATCACGCTGTTGAAAACATTTATCCGAAAAAAGAAAGAGTTGAAAATATTTCAATCCTGCGAAGTTAAGAACGAAAATTAGAAGAAATTTGAAAAGTGAATCAAAAAGTAACATCTATTACAAAAAAAAATTCGCCAAAAATACATTTTGCACTTTCAACTCTGAAAACGTTAGAAGTCACCTTGGAATCTCGTTTTTACAAAATACCTGAATCGCAAGAACATTTAACAACTTCATTGTAAACTGAGCCAAAGAAAAAGAAGAGAAAAAGAAAAAATTTCATTTAGATCATTTGTTTCTTACAATGTGTCACGATCTTTGCAATGGTATTGTGTAACGTTACCCAACACCTTTTGCCGCCGAGCAATTTCGTTCGTATCGATCGTTACGCTCGGTTAAATAATTGCAGATAGTTTTCACGGGTTCGTCGGTTCCGAGAGGACTGTCGTAATTCAGGAAAGGGATATCTGCAACAAACACGGACGAACGATACTTAACGCGGGTGAAACCATTCCCGGAGTTCATTCTCCGACGGGCCATTGTTCTATTTGGTGCTTATCGTTTGTGAACAAGTGGGATCCTGCAATATCCTGCGAGCGAATCTCATGTCACGGTTGCTTTTCTTCCCGGTGTGGGAGAATCGACGCTGAAAATCGCTCTAACCCCCCCGGCATTCTTACACGGGCACGAGGATTTCACGGTAATTGTTCGACTCGCTCGTTTACGATCATCAGGGAGGAGCGTCAAGCATGAATAAAGAGAACAAGGAGAAATTGAAAAACGGTTTTAACGTTAAGTAGTTGAGGCAAAGTAATTGCTGTAACAGGATGATCGTTGAATTAATTATCTACGAATGATTCTAAACGTCTGAGAATTATCGGCAGTTGAAAATGCAGCGGAATAGATTTTTAAGCGAATTTCTTTTTTTTTAAAAGTGTCAATTTTTCGAGCAATTTTACATTTTCCGAATATTTAAAGAATTTTGGATCAGTGTTACATTTTTCAGCCATTTTTAAATCGTTCGATCGTTTTTAAATTTACACTTTTTGATCATTTCGAAATCTTTCCATCATTTTCATATTTACACTTTCGAATCATTTTAAAATCTTTCGATCACTTTGAAAATTTAAAAATTTCCAAATTTTCTTTCGCAAATAAACGGATTCGTACAAATTCGTTATGTTTGTGAATTTCAAAAGCCGTGTAAAAATTACTCAACACAGAATCTTTTCGTGAATATAATTCTTTAATATAGAATAGATTTTTAGCGAATTTGTTTTTCTCGTAAAAAGATGTTAATCTTCGATTCGTTTAAAAATTTTCAAATTTTCAAATTTCTTTACTTTTCCTTCGGTAAATAAAAGCCTTAAAAATTATTCTCTTCCAAAATGCAATAATAGTACCTGTTGATTATTATCAAACTTTCCTCTTATGCAACAATTTCCATTTACTGCATTTTTGGTGTTTCTCACTGTATGATGTATCATACATCTGTTGCACACGGCGAGTACCGCTAGATTCAGCGTAGCACATCCATTCACTGTAAATACCAGCAAGGCTGGTTTTCTCTATTCTGCAATTGCAAGCTACATACTGTCGGCCAGTCGGTCAATCGGTGATGTTGCTGCTCTCGATACTTAACCAGTGGGACACGACCGATATTCAGAATTTTTGATGAAAATTATACACTTTTCAATTCAATCTTTTCATAAAAAACAACAATTAATTCACTTTCGTGAAAGCTGATATAATTAAAAGGATTTTAAAATAACTACATTACTTGACGAATACATATGAATGAACGTCTTGTATAACTTAGGGTAATATTAAACATAATTTTTTATAAGAGTGTGAATTTAACGAAATAAATGAAATAAATTAAATTTGATCTCGTATTCCCTTTATGGAAGCTGATACAATTAATAAGGATTGTATTGCCTGTATTGCTTAAACAAATTTTGGACAAGTTAGGGTAATTTTTCAGTGAAAGGATGAATTTAACGAGATAAATGAAAAAGGTGCAACAGTAGAACGTGATGATTTTTAAAGTGTGAGATACTCAGGTTAAAATAATACAGGTTTAGTAAAAAAAATAGTTAATAATTATTCTATCCTTCTTTTTTTTTAAATAACAGTTTGCAAATAGTCTTCTCGATAGAGAATATATTTTTTGCAATCGGGTAGGAAAATTCTCCATTGTTTGTCGACATAGTGATTGATATTGTGATTAGGAAAATGTTATTTAATAAAAATTAACCTTAATTTAATCCGAGTATTCCATGATAATTCTTTTAAAATCGTTACATTCTATTATCACACCTGTTATATACTGAAACAAGTGGAAGATTTTCGGTCCAATTTTCTCTTTTCAACACTGATATATCTGTCGTCATTTGTACTTGAACTTGAGTAACTATTGTCTTCCTCAAAAATTACGCATGATTTTACGGTATTAAGAGAAATTCCGACATCGTCGTTTAACACCTAACCTTTACCCTTTGAACTCATTGTCAGTCTGGGAAAGAACCGGGCTACTTAAAAATTAGATCGTATCTAAAACGAAATTTCATCTTCTAGAAATAAAGTGAATCGTTATTTTCTCTGCAAAATCCTTAGACATCGTAAACGTTTCATCTGAAACTTACACACACACACTCGATTTATAAGAAATAAGCTAATTACTAACTAAAATTAAATTACATTTTAATAAATATAATATTTTACTCACGATCAATATTTATTTTCAATAACGTACATTTACAAATTTGTAAATCCCCAAATTTCGTCTAAATTCTATTGAAGATTACAGTGAACCTTATCTTACAGGAAATGACTGAAAGTAAAAGTCTGTAAATGTTAAAAAAAAAATAAAACATTCAGAAAAATAACAAATTGAATCATATACAAAAACTCGTAAATTTACCCAGAGTGTTCTACAACCGTTGAAGAAGAGGTAGAGAGACGTTGGCAGAAGAAGACGAATAGAGGTGTGTGTTCAGGAAGCCGCAACCATAAAGATAACGCATCTGACGATGATAGAAAGAGGTGGAATAAAAGATGAACGCGTCCTTAGTGTTCTCCGCTTCAAGGAACTCGTCGAAAGTGTAACAGTAGGTTTCTCAGACCGCGGCTAAGAGCGCCCTGTATGTCACTCCTCCTAGATGAAAAGGATCAGTCGAGTTGCCGTTCCCTGGAGTGGCTAGCTCGAGAGACAGCGAGACCGCCGGGTCATCGAGTTCAACGGGTCGTGAAATGTGTCGTGGAGGGAAGTATCCAGATCTGAGGAGATCGTAGAGGGAACCGATGGACCAAACGAGTCTGATAAGACTGATCAGTGCTAGTTTGAATCTCCTGCGGTTGAAATAAAAAGGAACTCCTGCGTTGACTTTGGAGAACGGTCAACTTGCTCCAGTGAATGAATAATCTTCGCTGATTAAGAAGTGAAAGAAACAGAAACATTGAAAAATTGTGGTGTGAATTTGAAATTGATTTCTTTCGTTTCTGAGAAGATTGACTCTTTATAGGTGAACTTTTCTTTTTTTTTTTTATTTTTGAGAA